TGTCCTAGTTTGTGTTTAGATGTCCTCCCAAAGCCTCGTGCTTTTTCAGAGGTGGCTGAATCTAGAGTTTGTGATTGTTAGTGGTGGGGCTAGGTCCAAGGGCACTAGGGTTAAGGGCATGTGTGTTACCTGACCTAAGTAGTCTGAATAAAACAGGCAGAAAGACACTATTAAGGCCCCTTGTTGCTTTGCTATTTTGTGGGTGCCATGAACTGTTGCTCCTCTGAGATGTCCCTCTGCCTTGTGAAACCAAACCCACCTTGGCGCCAGTGGATTATTGACTGAAGCATCTACGATCTGTAAGGCAAATAAACCTTTTCCCCTTTGACTTTGGGTGTTGGATATTTTGTCTCAGCAATGGGAGACAAGCAACTAACACAACACTTCAGCAGTTTGCCATACTAGTAAATGTCTGAAAGCTAATGGCCACCACTTTGAGCACCTCTTGTAACTGTAGAGGCCAAAGGTGACTTATATTAATCTTATGATGTTTCAATCAGTTTAGTATTAATATATACAAGTTTTTCTTTCCCTGATATATACATGTTTTTGGCTGACTCTGTGTCCTTTGATTTGGTCAGCTGTGAGCAGATGAACCTGAACATATGAGCCTAAAGACAATCACTGTTTTAAAGATATATTATGGAATAAGAGACTGGGGCAAAGTACAAATGCAGTACCTTCAACAAGGTAATATTCCTTAATCTTCCCCTCTGTGTTCACAGATCATTTAAGCCCATTTGGCCTCACAATCAACAATGGGGGGGGGCTGCGTTTTTTTAAAAGTCAGTCATGAAAGATGGAAGAACAAAAGCAAACTTGAGGTCACTTCGCACATTCTTGACCCAAAGGTCTACTGTAATTTGGGATGGGAAGAAGAGGCTCTTGACCTAGTAACTTGCATTTCTTATCATCATTTGTATGTCACACAATCATAAGAAACATGAGAAATGGCCGCAGGTATGCAGGGGGTTCTCAGGGCCCCTATAGGATTTTCCACTTCTAACTCCTTTGACTTAAAGACTCCCTGTTACATTACTATCCAAACTGTTAGGAAAGTCTTCACCCATTTTGTTCTTCATAGCAGCTTTGACTATTTCCAGCCCTTTTCTGGACAGGCTTTCATTTCGAATGAGAGCAATGGCCTGTGAAATGAAACAAGAGCTGAACACCATATTCTGGACAGAAGGTAGGAGGCCAGAAGGGTTTGGGTCTTTGCTTGTACAGTATTCCACCTTAATATATGTTTCACTGTTCTTGATTTCTGTTATTCATGGTCAGCCGTGGTCCAAAAATTGTAAACATAAAATTCCAAAATAAAGAATGTGCAAGTTTTAAATCATGCGATTATGAGTAGTGTGATGAAATCTGCTGTCCCACTTAGTCATGCCTGGCATGTCTTAGGGAGAGCTGTACACCATGCCAAACTACTGCTCTGCTGGGACACGAAACTACTGGAAACAAAAAACCTGGCACCAGTAATGAATTAAAGAGGCAGAGTTTATTTGGAAAAGGGCAGAAAAGGAAAAGATAGCTACTCTGGAAGAGTAAGGGGGATCAGAAGAAAATACCCTTGGGTTTTTGTCCTCAGGTCCTTTTAATGGACTGGTGTCCCTGCCCCACCTTGGGCAGTTGGAACTTGGAGCTATCTGATTGGCTCTCAGTGGCTGTCTAGCCCCTAGCCTGGGTACCTCTATCTACATTCTTTTGGCCATTTGATTTCTTTCTGCCCTTTTGTGATGGATAAATGTGAGGAGGGGGGATCCTTATACAAGGGCAGCTTACAGTTAGAAATTAAGTGAAGGGGACGTGTACATCTGGTAAGAATATACATATATGTATCTATTACAGATATGTGCCTTTTATATATTAAGCAAGAGTCTGTAGGTGGCTGCCCCTTACCTCCTTTGTAGTTGATCGAGTGAAGATAGGGGCTGGTTACCCTGGTCTTTCATGTTCCTAGCTACATCCTTGTTTTCTCCAGGACTCTTTCTGCTAAATTCTTCTGTTAATTGTGCTACCTGTTACATTCTCAGATCTGGTTTCTCTATCTCTCTTTCTCTTTTTTTTTTTTTTTTTTTTTTTTTTTTTTTTTTTTGGTAACGGGGATTGAACTCGGGTCCTTCTGCTTGCAAGGTAGGTGGTGGAACCACTGAGCTAAATCCCTGGCCCTCTCTCTCTTTCTTTACCTTTGTCTTTGTAATTGCTGAAGCCTAACTGCAGAGGCAAAAGCTGCATTTGGTAAGAATTCCTACTGACTTCTTTAATAAAACTTAATGAGATCCTACTTTCTTTTTCCTGCCTGCCACTCTCCTTTCCCTTCAATACCCAGCACATGAATCATCCTGTTATCTGTCCAGGTTGTATATGCTACCTACCTGTCCATGCTGCAGTGATCTATTGGCTGTTAAGGTATTGCCATGCTTATGTTTGGGTAACCCTTCCCTCAATAATGACCCCAAAGTACAAGCGTAGTGATTTTGGCAATTTGGATGTGCCAGAGAAGCCATAAAGTGCTTAAATCCAAAAGTGAAACTTAAAAAGTTAAAAAAATATTTTGCTGAGGTTGCTAAGATCTACAGTATATTTTGAGGAACTCGGCTCATATACCTTTTATTATATTATATTGTTTTATGTCCTGTTTTATTAATCTCTTACTATGCCTAATTTATTTTGTTTTGTTGTGTGGTTTTTTTTTTTTTTTTTTTTTTTTT